AATGTCAGATAACTAAGCAGCTTTAACAATTATTGAATAGATAGTCTGACAACAATGAGCTTCTTGAAAAACTAATAAACAGTGAAATGGCTAATTTAAAATCCCCAAGCCTCATGGTGGGACTTTAGAAGCTACCTTTAAAAGAAAAATGAAGTGGGGACTGGGCATTAATTGAAACTGAAAAATAAATGAATATGCTTGGTTACATTAAGGAGTTGTTTATTATTGTAGGCCTGCCATCTCCATCAGGAAGAACTCCCAAAGCTGCAGATGGAGGAGGCCTCCAGCGGAATCAAACCTTAGGTCAACGGATTATGGGAAATATGATGGACAATCTCTTCCTTCGAAATCTTACTTCAAAATCTAAAAGCCATATACCAGATACTTCTCAACCGTCTTCTCCAGTTACGGTATTATACTGTCTTATAGTGGCAATATAACATTTACTTTTGGATTATCGCATGAATTTATCTCTTATTTTTCTCCATTTTAGGTTGCCGATGCTGTAGAGCCTGATACCAAGAACGAGGAGAGTCCTTTGCTAGTAACTGTCAGGGGGAAGTGCATTACACAATTATTGCTTCTTGGTGCAATTGATGGTATTCAGGTTTGTATGTTTTTTTCTTTTCTTCGTTTAGATCTCACATTTTCAGGTTCTCTTACATTTGTGAGTGAAAAAAGATAGGTAACCTGAAATTTGTTTAAGATTTTTGCATATGAAATAGATGCAAAATTTTTGGTTGGCTTTGCTGCCAATTATTTGTTTGCTCAGAGTCAGTATGGTCGTATGGGATAAGGAGGAAAGGCTTTCCCTCTTTTCCCCCTCTCTTATAAAACCTTCGGTGGGAGGAAGTGCCTCTTCACATTGCATATGTGAGGAAAGGAGGGAGAATGTAATTTCAAACCCATCTTTTTAAATAAACTTGGTGGTGGGGTCGGGGAAGCTTTAGAAACTGTTAGAGATGTGATAAAACTATTCATGTGTCTTCACCCAACAATTTAAGCTCTTGGGAGAGTTGGTTCATGACATGGTATCAGAGCTTCTATGACCATATGGTTTAGAGTTCGATCTTTGTTGTCCTCATTCTTCTTATAAAAAGTTAAATTCGAGCACAAGGTAAATGAGTCTGTGCATTATCCACACTTCAAATTATGTGACAGGGTGTGGTATAAGATATAATAAAACCATTCACATGCCTTCACCTAATAGCTTGAGCTTTTGGGAGAGTTGGTTCATAACAGAATCCATCTCCTCGACTTAGCAAAATTTTTCTTTATGGGAGTTTTATGGTTAGATGAAATTTTTGTTGTAATCTGGTTGCAAAGGACAATGTCAGTAATGGAGAGGGGGAGGTTCAATATCTTCTCCCAATTAACTTTTTCTAATTATTTGCAGAAGAAATATTGGAAAAAGTTAAAAGCACAACAGAAAATTGCTATAATGGACATTTTGCTGTCTTTGTTGGAGTTTGCTGCTTCATATAACTCATCCACCAACCTTAGAACTCGCATGCACCAAATTCCTGATGAAAGGTAGGAAAAAACTCTATCAATTTGTCTTAATTTCACTCTGTTGGAATGGAGGACTTTAAACATCTCTAAATTATTCTTGGACAGGCCACCAATAAATCTTCTTCGTCAGGAATTAGCTGGTACTGGCGTATATCTGGACATCTTACAAAAAGCAACGTATGGGTTTGAAAAAAGCAAAGATGTTAATTCTGCAGCAGATAATGGCTCGGGTGTTACTCAACATTCTGATGCAGAAGAGAAATTTGAAAGGGTTGCTGAGGAGAAAATGGTGTCTTTCTGTGAACAAGTTCTCAGGGAGGCATCTGACCTCCAGTCTAGCACTGGAGAAACCACTAATATGGATATTCATCGTGTCTTGGAACTGCGTGCTCCTATCATTGTTAAGGTACAAGGTTTATCCGTCGGGATAGTAAGAAAGTTGACCTGCATTCTGTTCAGTTTCATGGTGTTGCCTGTCATATACTTGATTAATGCGTTAAGGGCATATTAAAAAAAGGATTTATTGTTTGGTTCTACACTATTAGCGAGCCATTTGATGTCACCTGTTTAAAAACTGCTTTAAGCTTTTGTTGTGGATGAAAAGCCTTAATTATTATCATGACATGGCATTTTCTTGTTTGTAGATTTTATGAAAAGTTTGACACTAATAGTGAATCACCTTTAAACTCACATCAAAATAATATATTTAGGAATCATGCTTCTTTTATATTATATTGGAGACTGATTTTGATTTTAATTCTCATTAAAAAAAGCTACATCTTCTCACCTCATGAAAGAAGCATAAACTCTTTTAATTCTTCAGCTGTCTGACTTCATTAACATGTATCACCTTCGTTAATCAAAAGTCTACCTCATACTCAATGATGTTCTGCCCATGGCTGTTTTAAGGTAGTTTCCGTCTCCTATATGTAGAGATTGGGTGGTTTCTTGGGTTTTTTCTTGTTCCTTTGTGTTTTTTCTTTTATTATTATTTATTTATTTTTCAAATGCTTTGGATACCTTTCCCTTTCTATCTTACTTTTTCTTGCAAGTTTTTATTTCCATAAAAAAAATCTCCATCAGAGAGGTACTTAGCTTGAGTTTTTACTTTTGTGCTTTTCCATCTAGTTCGATGAAATTCATTGCAGCTTATGTTTTTGTTTTCAGTTAATAAGCTAATATTTATTAACCTTGCTCTTTCAGGTGCTTCAAAGCATGTGTTTTATGAACAATAAGATTTTCAGAAGACACATAAGAGAATTCTATCCTTTGCTAACAAAACTTGTTTGCTGCGACCAGGTAATTTCTTGCTTCTGCAATTTTTCAAATCTGCATTTAATTAGTAATTTTGCTTGCGTGTGATGTACTGGCTGAGAGATTCAAGAAAATGGGATGCTACCCCGATTAAAAGGAAGTTATTTTCTATTCCATTAGGAGCAGTGTTGGGACAGGGATACTTCCAAATTCAAAATAGTGATAAACCTAAAAAATTATCTAATTGATTTCCACCAGTTGAACTTTATGGAAAGAAAATTAAAAATTATCATTAAATTTAAAGGTGTAAAGGTAATTTTTGGGATTGTCCAGCTGCTGCTATGTTTAAGAAATGCCTCCTGCGATAAACTGAATCCTTTGTTTTGATCAGATGGATGTTCGGGGTGCTCTTGGTGATCTTTTCCAAGCACAATTGAAAGCTCTTTTACCATAGCTATCTTATAATGCCGTTGTCAGGATTCTCGGAGATAAATTCTTCAGTGCACTGCCGATATCAATTTTAGCTGGCTTGGAAAGAAGAATATTGTAGTCTTTTGGTATTCATATTCTTATGGAAATTTTGTGCTGGCACTAACAGTTTTGTAGAAAGGCAATAGAAATGTAATTTTAGTTTCATCCGACCTCCCAATATTCGTTTGCATTTAACTTCATTTGTTTGTGCAGTATTTGGACAATAGTTGAAGCTCTGATTGAGAAGGTTTCCAATCAGTCTTTTGTTGTATGATAATAGCTGTGTATCATGTGATACCCTTATGTCTTTCATGAGGAGAAATATCAAATATTTGCTATTCATAGTGTATACAATACAACACGGAAAAAAGGTCGCAGTTCTCCCGTCTCTTTACCCCCTTTTGTTCTTTTTTTTTTATACATGTTTAGACCTTTAAATTTTTATTTTCTTGTAATAAGTATTTTCTATTGAAGAGGTCTCGGGGTTCCAGGAGCATGACTGGATTTATGAATTATAGCTAGAAATGTCGATTTGATATGACACTTCCAGTTTTGGCAATTTCATCTTTGCTTTTTCAATGTTAATTATTGTGACCGTGCGTATCATGTAACTTGGGGGAATAATTTTGGAGTTGCATTTTATTAACCCATCGTGGTGAGCGTGAACTTCAATCAAACGCTGCCATGTCAAAATAGTTAAAATTGAGATTTTATGTAAAATCGAAAAAGGGATAAAAAACTCATAAAACGTAAAATTATTTAAAATATTGATAAAATTATTTTGATGAATTTTTGTTTACAAAATTGTAATGATAAATTAAAATTTTAATTACCATGAATGTCGTCTCAATCTAGTTTATTTCATTATATTTGCTAATATTGTGATTTTGATTATTATTATTAATTTTGTTTAAATTGATTATGAAAAATTTAAAATAAATTGCTACATTTGTGATAATGTTTCGCGAAATATTTTGACCCCGAGATCGTTACTCAGTATCACGTTTACTGTTTCTCCTGTTGCTTGATGCTGCTTCATTATTTTCTGAATTATAATGCTTTGCGATTCAAATGACTCGTTGCATATTCTGAAAGTTTCTTGTGAAAAAAAGATTATGAAACTTTTATGGCAAAAGAAAAAACGATTAGTACTGAAGCTGTTTCCTTTTGTCACGGTGTGATGGGAAATTTAACGTTTTCTATCTGGTCAAATCTATATAAGGAAACTCAACACGAAACTAGAAATAAATTCACGATACTAAACAATAAAACGGGGAAAATTAATAAGATAAAGTTCAGCTGTTCTAGATACGACCAAGGGTTTTTATTTATGTATTTTTTCCTTTCCAAAAGTGTGGTTTCTTGGCTCGGTCATAAACGTTAAAATGAAAATTAATCCTAAACGCCGTAGGGAATAATAGGAATTGAGATTAAACGAAGGCTTACGTACCCTTACTACATCTGAATTTTGAGTTGCCTTTTGGTTTGATTCTACCTTTCTTTGCTAGATTGTTCTCCATCTCCTACCACGTACGCATGTTTAAGAATGCCTTGGTGTCATCCAACGGGTTTTGGAATCCAGTGCTTTGTTGAGTCTTCATGCAATTCTTTACGTAACTTTCTACTGAGTAAAAGGACATTAATTTTTTTTCCCCCACTTTGTTTAATAAATTTTATTGAGAATAATCAGCTTCATATACGTGGGTGTTGGGACAGAAGGAACTAAGAAATAGAGGTAAGTTGAGACAGGAAAAAAAGACTAGATGGGATTCCAACGTTTTACTACGTGCTTTTTGTTAGCACTTTGCATACTAAGCCAAGGTTTGGCAAAGGGTGCTCTTGGTTTTGCTTGCAACTGGGGAACGCGTTTAACGCATCCCCTTCCACCCCAAATAGTTGTGAAACTCATGAAGGACAATGGATTCAACAAAGTGAAGCTTTTCGAAGCTGATCCTGCAGCACTGAAGGCTCTTGGGAATTCTGGCATTCAGGTCATGGTTGGAATACCCAATGACCTCTTAGAATCCCTTGCTAGAAATGTCAATGCTGCAATCGCATGGGTGAACCAAAATGTATCCACTTACATATCCAAATCAGGGGTTGATATAAGGTAATAATACATTACTACACCATCTCTTTATTCAAATCCTTATTGTGCTATAATTTCAGAACTTTGTGCTTGAGCAAAAGTTGCATTTTTTTTAACAAAGTGTTTATAAAACTCCTAGGTATGTTGCTGTGGGTAATGAAGCTTTTCTCAAAACATACAACGGTCGATTTGTGAACTCCACGTTTCCAGCCATTCAAAACATTCAAGCAGCCCTTATAAAAGCTGGTTTAGGCAGGCAAGTGAAGGTGACTACCCCTCTAAACGCAGATGTGTATCAAAGTGATACTGATCTTCCATCAGGTGGAAATTTCAGGCCTGACATTCAAGACCAAATGGTCTCCATAATCAAGTTTCTCAGCCAAAATGGTGGTCCTCTTACCTTTAACATCTACCCATTCCTCAGCCTTGATGCTGATCCCAACTTCCCAAAAGAGTTTGCCTTCTTTGATGGCTCTGCTGCCCCTGTTGTTGATGGTTCCATATCTTACACCAATGTCTTAGATGCCAACTTTGACACCCTCATTTCAGCTCTTGAAAAGAATGGTTTTGGTTCAATGCCTGTCATAATTGGAGAGGTTGGATGGCCAACAGATGGAACGGCCAATGCCAACATAAAGAATGCTCAGAGGTTCTATCAAGGCCTTATTAACCGCATAGTGAAAAGGCAAGGAACTCCCAAGAGACCTAACCCACCAGAAATCTACATGTTTGCACTCACAGATGAGGATGCCAAGAGCATTGAACCAGGCCCTTTTGAGAGGCACTGGGGTATCTTCAACTTCGATGGATCCATTAAATACCCTTTGAAGCTTGGTGGTGGAAAATCTTTAGTTCCTGCAAAAGGGGTCAAGTATTTGCCAAAGCAATGGTGTGTGATGTCAGCTCAAGCAAATGTTTTAGACCCTGGTTTGGCTGACAGTATGAGCAAAGCTTGCACATACGCTGATTGCACTAGTCTTTCTCCTGGGTCATCTTGCAGCGGTTTAGACAAAAAGGCAAATGCTTCATATGCATTTAATATGTATTATCAGACCATGGATCAGCGCAAAGATGCATGCCAATTCAATGGTCTATCAGTCATCACTAACATTGATCCTTCACCTCCTCAAAGCACTTGCCAATTTAAGATCATGATCGATCTGGGGAAGCATGAAACTAAGTCCACTGCAACAAAAAGGGAAATACACTCAATGGTCATGCTGGTATCAAGTTTCATGCTCACTATCATGTTATCTCTATTATATATTTAATTTTCCTTGTGTTGTGCAGAGTGTCACAATTTCACACCATGATTTTATTTTTTTATTTTTTGGGGGTATATTCTTATACTTCCATTTAGATTTTCAATCTCAAGCATGACCAAATGAATGTATAATTGATCGTATTGTCAATTTATAATCCCTGGCCCTTATTGGGCTGCTACTATCTCAATTGTTTTTTGGTGCGTTGGTATTGACAACCCGCAAATATTTAGTGAATTAATCTTTTTTTCACATTTGGAAAACTTTTTACCACTTTTAAAAAAATAATTCCACCACCTTGAAAAAAAATTCCTTTTCGAAAAAAATGTACCCTATCGAATACATTTGATACACCAAAATTTTGTTTCAACTATACATACGACTTCCACCGTCATTAAAAGCCATCATGTTATACAGCAATCATTTTTTGGGTATTACTTAAAAAAATATATTATATTAGGGGTGTTCATCAACCGATCCAAACCGCGATAACTGAACCGAAAAATCGATAACCGAATAAGTCAAAAACTGAAAATCGAAAACTGAAAAAAAAACCACAAATTTTAATTGGATTGGATCGATTTTCGGATTGGTGGATGAAAATCGATTCAATCCAAACCGATCAAATGTATTAATTTTCTTCTACCTACTTGAGCATTTCCTCAATCATAGCCTAAAAGTTTCTAAACTTAAGACCTATTAACCCATCAACTAAACCCAAGAAAAAACCTAGTCACATCTCATTAACAAAATTTCATCTGTGTAGAGCTTCATATTTCATTGTCAAAAAAAAATTATATTGTCATTTACTGATACTTTTGTATTTCAATTTTTTTTTTTTACAAAGTCAATATATACAAAAGATGTTATTTGCACAATAATCATGAAATAAATTTTGAATTTTCAAAAAATTGAAAGCCGATCCAAATCAAAACCGAAAAAAACTGAATTGGATCGGATCGGATTTGAAAAAAATTCAAATCGAATAGATAATTACATGATCACATCGAAGGAATTGGATTGGATGATTTTTGCTATCAAAATCGATCCAATCCAGACCGCGAATACCCTTATATTATATAATCATTTTCTTAATAATTCTATGACATTCTTGGGTAGAACAAATTTTATATAATAAGGAGTAAAAATTAAATGAATAAAATTTATAACAATAAATTTAAATTTAAAATTTTAGTGGTCTCGTACATACTTACCTATCACGTTTCAAATAAATAAATAAATTTATTTATTTATTATTTTCATTAATTAATTATTAATTTCTAAAAAATCAATGATTAAAATTAGATATAAGATTTATTATTTTTACACTAATATAAGAAGATTTTGTCACTCACACACACATATATATTATGGTCAGGATCATTTTACATCAAGTTACATTCTCAATTTTGATTATTAATCCTGTTTATATCTATCGATTCTGATTAATTAAATATTTGAGTCATTAAATACAAACAAATCAATGATCATAATTTGGTATAAAAATATCTTGTTCTTATATATAAAAAATAATTCGGAAAGACCACCTATTTGTTCGTTTACCAGGTTCGGCACGAAATCATAAATAAGCTAATTAAAAAAATTTAATAAAAAATATTAAATGCTCTTGAGTTTTTATTCTTAGGATATTTGTTACCAAACTTTTCTTATATTTATATTTAATTTTATTAAATTTAAATTATTATTTAATCATGTATTGTTTGGTCATTAAATTTTTTTGACCATCACAGCTATTACATAAATAAGTCTAATTTTTTCGACAATAATATATGGGAAAAATATTTCTCTAAGCAGTTAGATAAGTTTATCTCCGATCATCCAAAATTACGGCGTTTTATTTATTTATTTTCTTATATTAATTGATTCATCTTTGAATGGTTATGATTCTTTTTTTTCTCTCTCTTCCTTTATCACCATTGATCCATCTTCGTACGGTTATGATTTAGTATTCGAAGATAAAATTATCTCGAACAGCTTGAGAAATGATAAGCCCATAATATATATATATATATATATATATATATATATATATATATATATATATATATAGCAAGATTAACTTATCTGTATAAAGTTAAAATTTGATATAAAATTTATTATTCTTAAACTAATATAAATTGATCACATCCTGTAATTTTTATTAGGGCTTTGCATTCATCATGCAGCAGGAAATAAAAAGAACTTCCTAAACATATAACATTTCATGGAATCCGTATTTTTTGAAGCCAAAAAAAAAAATAAGACATGAAAAATGAATTTTTATAACATGACAAATTCATTTTTCCTATAACATAATTTCTATAAAATCATTTTTATTAATACATTATTTTTAATATTACAAATAAAAAACCACATGCAGAATCTAATTATACTTCGGCTCACCGCCTACCAGTTTTCACTTTCAATGGCACCTATTGACAGCGAAATAAACCAAAAAGAAAAAGAAAAACCTTAAATTTTAAATACACATGTAATTTTCACCCGAAAAAAATATCTAAATAGAAAGGAAAAAGAAAAAATTGGTAAGAAAAAAAGTGATAGCATACCAAAACGAAGAGGGGAAAGGAGAATCGAAAATGATGCCTTAATTTCCGTTTAAGCAGCAATTAGCTTTCCTCTTTTGTTTTCAGTTTTGTCTTTAAATTTTCTCTTAACAACAAAACAAAATATTGATCTATTTGAGGTACCCAAAGATTCTATATAAATGGAAAACACAATCTGAGTAACTCATTAACACTGTGGAGAGAAAGAAATCACCAATATACAAAGATTCTTCATTATCTATGTTTTAATGCATATTCGGTTTTGAGGCGCATCTTCTGGAGATTCTTCTCAACCTCAACGAAAATTTCTCAGCTTTTCCGTCATTTTCTGCTGACAGATTTTCCAAGTCAATGTTTTTCTCTACTGGGTGTTTGTTTATTAATTCCTAGGCATAGTAAGATTTGATTTGATTTGATTATTTGTTTTTCGAATCATATTATTATTATCGGACATTTCCATTTTCCTGGTAATTGGGATTGGCTATAATTTCGCAATCTTGTTTTTTAGGGTTTATGTCGATTGTGTTTGGAGGATGCCCTTTTGTCTCCGAATGAGATTTGACCATTAAAAGATTGGTCCTTGATGATTGCAGTTTCTGGGATTGATTCTTTTTTAAAAAGGAATATTGCCTTTTTTGGCTGTCTGATTTATCCGTATAATTTTATTTTTAATGGTAATGCGAGAAAATCAGATTAAGATTCTGGTGTTATTATGTATAAATTAAAGAATAGTGAAGGCTCTTTGCGCTTCTTGTTTAAGCAAGCTCTGCGTCACCCCCACCATATGGCTTATTCGGTAGGCTATGATCCTTGTTCCCATTTGAGCAAGCCTTTTTTCCATTACCGACACCATAGGGTTTATGCCAATGTTTTTGGGGTTAGTACTAGAACTAGAAGCAATGGGTTCAGTCGTAAAGGTTGCAGCTTTGACACCATTGGTAGTTGTAGTGGTAATAGTAATGGGATGTTTGTGAGGGCAGAGGCAAGGCCCCGTTGCTTTGCATCTCAACATCGCCAACAGATGTTGGCTGATTTGGAGAAAGGGAATTCTGTGAGGGATGATGACCGTGATGCTACTGTGATTAAGGTTGATAATGGATCAGTCAATGGAAGTCCTATTAATCCTCTTTGTTTCCGTGATCACCATTTGTCCCAGAAACTTGTTGTTGCTGTTGACGTTGATGAGGGTATGTATGTATGTATGTATGTATGTATGTATGTATGTATGTATGTATGTATATGCATACATGTGCCACTCTTTTCATATTATAGCATGTCTTCAAAGTTTCTTATAGTGTCGTTTAATTTTTCACTATGTTCCAATTTCAAAATATATATGCCTTTAAATGTGCAAGAACTGCTTTAATGTATGTCTTTTCCTTTTCTTTTCTCTTGTAATATGCATTTACTGCACATTCCAAAACATCATTCATGCTACATGTATATTTGCCTGAATCTATATGTATATTTGCCCTCCTTGCAATTTCTTTTGTTAAAAGTGAACTCATGAAGGTGTTGGAAATTCTCAAAATTTAGTGGAGATTTCTAAAATATGTTAGGAAATATAAGATGCTTTTTGTGTCAATGATACGTTGACCCTAGAGTTTTTGGCCGTGTTATAATAGCCACAATGTTCTTGCCTGGCTCAGAGCATGCTCAAAATTCTCACTTCCATATTATATTTCTTGGGTAGTTTGACTATTGTGTTTTTCTTACTAGTGTGTATAAACTCATATCTTCATTTTATTAACTAATTGTCAACTCTGGGTGTGTATAAATAATAAATAATCCACTCTATTTGGCAGTGTGATATCTCAGCTTAAATTAGTTATGTTTCTTTCTTTACTTTCCAATCCATTGTAGACTGGCTAGTACATAGTTGAATTCTATGATTATCCACTTTTGTTCTTCTGATTCTATGTTTTCCATCTTTTTGAATAAGCAGTATTAGGAAACTTTGTGTCCGCTCTCAACAAATTCATTGCAGATCAATATTCATCAAATTATTCAGTTTCTGAATATCACGTGTACGAGTTCTGTAAGGTATCATTTTTTTGGTTGCTTTGGTAATTCTTTATTTTCATGATCAGTAATTGAAATTTGCAAATTTTTTGTTATATTTGTGAACAGTAGCTTGCATGTTCTTTCATAGGCTCATTTTTCCTCTCCATTCACCAGTCTTTTATATATTAATGTAGCATTAGAAATGATTGCCCTCTTTTGAAATTAGGCTTACTCGAGCTGAATTAATATTCTTTCGTATCAATCTTCCAGAATATAATTTTAATGGTAATCTATCGTTGATGATATCAAAATTAAGGGTTTTGTTTTGTTAGCCTGGGGCATTAGGATTTGCAGTGTGTTTCAGATCTTCATTTTGCCAACATATCATGGGTAGGGAACTTCCCTTTGGATGATGAGATGGAGCATCATCAGTTAAGTTGGATCCTAATGTGCCACATACAAGATCCAGGGACATAAATGTTGATCCATGCCCCCTGAACATCGATTAGGGATCCAAATTCTGTGTAAATGAGTAAGAGGTCGTTTGTATTGACTTTTGAAGAAAGTCGTTTTTATCACTTCCTTATTTTAAAAGTACTTTTTATAAAAGTTACAATTATTTAGATTTTTAAAAAAATATTTGTTTTTTGAAAAAAAAATTTGGCTTTTGACTTCTGCTTTTTTTAAAAGCTAAAATTTTTAGCTTCCGAAAAAAGTAGGTTTTTGGCTTTTTTTATGACTTCTGCTTTTTTTAGAAGCAGGCATCCAAACAAACTTTTTTTGAGAAGTGCTTTTTTTTCTTAAAAAAAGCAGCTTTTGAAGAAAAAAAAGCCCATCCAAACGGGCTCTAAATCTCTTCTCTTGCTATAGAGAACTACTTTTATATAAATGGATTCTGTTTAATTCATAATTCAGTTCTTTGATGGCTTTCTTGGGGTTTCTAGATTTTATGCATTCCTTTTTTTTGTGAGTGCTTTTATAATTATTGCCTTGAGCTACAACTTATTATATTTGTATGCATCAGGTGTATCTGGCTTGTGTATATTAAAGAAAAATTCACTATTAAAGAGATAATATTTATTTTTTACTACCCATTTAGTCTATTGTATTGCTATGAATTTGTTCATGTACGTATGTGGAGTCTGATGCACCCTTCATTTCTGTTACAGATATGGAACTGTTCGCGTGATGAAGGTAACTAACTGTCTATGTCAGACTGTCACATTCCATTTTGTGAAAAAAAATTATATTCCATTTCTTATGAAAATTTTGGGGGACAATAAATTATTTCCTTCTTATTTTATTTTCACCTTGCTTAACTTTTGAAGTTTCTCTTGTTTTGAAATCTAAGTGATCTTTCTCGAGATCAGATTCCTTATAAATTTAATTCTTAAATGAGTCAAATTCTCTTAGTATTGGTTTCTTGATGAGTCAAGCCTATTTTGTAATACGTATCCTGAAGTTGGTTTTGTGATTTATGCACAGTCCTTGAACTATTCCACTTATAAATTGGTTTTTCAATGTTGCTGTGTATTTCCAGAAAAACAATCCTAATGGGGACCAACCCTAGTAAAGAAAAAAAAAATAAGGGAAAAAATTATTTCAAATGTATGCTGTTCAGCTGGTCAAAAGGGTCAAGAAGTTCAATAAGTTTATCATGCTTTTTATGTAGGGTTCTATGCCTAATGAAATGTTTTTATGCTTCATGGTGACTATTGGACTGGTTGAAAATCAATATCTTGTCTGCAGCTGATATGCGTGTTCATGAGTTTTTTAAGACACCATATTTCAAATTAGGGATCCACCCTCTCCCAGGTGCTCAGACGGCTCTTGAGAAGTTATCAAGATTTTGTAAACTATCAGTTGTAACGTATGCTTTTGTTATTGAACTTTCTTGAGCCTGTAAAGTAATCTTGTCAGCATGGACTAACTGGGGATGTTATCATATGATCAGATCTCGGCAGAATGCAATTAAGGATCACACAATTGAGTGGATAGAGAAGAATTATCCAGGATTGTTTCATGAGATTCACTTTGGTAACCACTTTGCTCTTGATGGGGTGTCAAGACCAAAGTCAGAGATTTGTAGGTACGCTCCTAAGTCCTAAATCCTCTTCACTCCTGCATTTCTATGATTTGGCCTAAAACCTCTATGCTCATTGGTCAACATCTGGAACTCTTTATGGACACTAAAAGTTCTAGTATTTAAACCCTCCTCCCAACTGGAGAACTGCATGAGGTCTCCTAAACAGAAGAGGATCCAAATTTTCTTTTCCTCATTTAAAGCTGCAAACTTTCTGTTTCCCATGTTTTATTGTTCATAGATTCCTGGTGTACTGCCATTGACAGGTCTTTGAATGCTAAGGTTCTTATTGATGATAACCCACGATATGCCATAGAGTGCGCTGATGTTGGAATTAGAGTCCTACTTTTTGATTATGAAAACTCATATCCTTGGTGCAAGAATGAGTCCGTTGATCAGCACCCTTTGGTGACCAAAGTTAAGAACTGGGAAGAAGTGGAACAACAATTAATGTCATTGATGGCTTCATAGTCTCTAAATCCAGTAGCAAGGATTGTGGAAACCACCTTTTCTACGTGAAGTGCTGGACCTATTCTTGAAGAAGTGAAATCACCTGAAGCGGCTGAAAGGAGGACCAACCAGAGGGTTATAGGGTAAGCTGAGGTTGAAGAAATACAAGTGACATGATTATATTCTTTTTCCCCTTTTTAAGCAACATTTATGAAGATTGGAATAGGAAGTTGTTCATTTTTATTCAAATTCTCGTGGTTTAACATATAACCTGATTATGATTTGTTTTTACCTTCCATGAATGTTGAAGGGAAATCTGAATCATATGATTCAATCTTGACCGTCAAATTTATGTCCTTATGTGGGATCACGTTTATACATGGAATTAAAGTATAAAACCATTAGGTGATTTAGTCATTGACTTTATTGGCCTTGTTTTACACTTATAATCTGTTATGGTCCCCTCAACTGTTAGGATTAGGGTAATTCAACCCCATAAACAGTGGGTAAAATGCAGTACACGATGGATATGGTAGTACATCTGTTTACTTAAAAAACTCTGTTCACGCAATGGCTTGGTATTACTGCCAAATACCTATGAGCAAAACCTGTCAAAGACGTTTGTGTTTGGGATAAAATATTATATTGTTGGATTGAATTACTTAATCCGTTAATTGTTTAACAAATACTGCAATGGAGAACTGGACAGCATGGATTTACAGTGACTCGCCTCTCTTTGGTGCGCATGAACACATTACTGTGCATACAGGTCTCTTCATTTATAAAAAAACGTAGTTAATGATCAACCTTGTTACTCTAATCTACATATTAACTTAAAATCAAAGAATCAGCATTGCCCTCAAGTGCCAGTTATTAGAGTAATCTTGTCTTCAATACATCATCTAGAGTCATACTTCCTGATTAGTATACAATAAATGTTCATGAACTGATATTGCTCCTATCGAAATGGGAATTTGATGGTGCCGTGCCGTATGGTCCATTTCTGACACTTTATTATATACGATGGTGGTTGCGATTGTAGAAATGCAGCAATTATTATGGTAGAAATTATTCACATTCTCATTACATAATGTTATATACACCAAACACCATCTTCAGAGATGCAAATTACTCATTCTTCTCAGTCAACTTGATGCCGTAAGCTTGTATAATATCCAGTGCTGCAAAATCCACAACCCACAAATAAGCATTGTAAAGCGCTTACCACAAAATAAAATTTACTGTTATTAGTAGCATGGTTTCATAATGTACATCCTGTTATCAAATGGCAAAGCATGCGTTTGTTTAGATTCGTTTTCCATCCTAACTGATGCAAAATACTTTCTCAAACGAGAATAATAAGGAGAAAACACTGGAAACTTTTTGATCTTTAGGCCACGAGAAATATTTATTTTTCAATACAAAAACAAGACTCGTCTCCTATGAATCCTGGTTCGAAAAATTCATACAATCCCAATTTCTCACAATAGAAAATCAAAACTACCAAATTATTAAGGGATCATGTGATTGCTAAGTATGCTAATTATTTTTGCTGGTTAGATGTGTTCTTTTAACAAAATGTATGCCAGAGAAAAAGAAAAAGAAACTATATTCAACAGAGTCATCTATTAACACATGGACAACAAACCAACACCAAATAAACACATCATGCAGTCACCTGGATTGTATACTTCAGGTTGGATAGGCCTTAAGACACCTCTTGTCTGAATTTTGTTCGTCAGTAAGAGCTGCAAAAAAGAGATATAGTTAATTCACTGGCATCATCTGTTTGGAATACTGTATAAAAAGAACAGAAACGGACAAAAGAAGTACCAGAGCTCCAACAGCAGCTGGAATACCAACAGTAAGGGCCATGGCACTCGTGGTTTTTCCATCGACAGTCTTTCCAAATTCAAGCAAAGTTGCTCTATGATTCTCTGTGAGTTGGCTCTCCGGGTATTCTACCTCCACTTCGTGGTGCAAAAACACCATATCCTGCTTACAAATAGGATAAAAGTTAATGCACTAGATGTTAAATGTATTCTTTTATAGTAAGTAATCTCTGCACATTCCTGCAAATAAGTTGCTTTAGCAGTCTTTAAGGTGATAAGCGGACACAATAAACATAAGTTGGTATTTCATATAAACTAATAGAAGTATACCTTTTCGGTGCTGGAGTAGGATAACTTCTCCTCCATACGGAAACAGATAACATCAAAAGCACTTTGGCAGGAAGCAGGGACTTCTGTTTGCTCAAGAAGTCCCAAAAATCTATATGAAAGAAGACAGGCTAGTTAAAACAATAATCTTCCAAATGAAAAGATGAGAAGGGTAATTGACCTACATAATTGTTTTTGCTGTCTTCATTGCACTTCTTTGATCTTTGCAATTCCCTACTGTTAATATCCTTTCCATGATTTCCTTCTCTTCTATCAATTGTCCATCTGGATCTTCACTTACAACTTTGAGAAGTTCAAACAAGAATTTTCTGAAAGTTGGTCTCTGTTCATTCTGTAGAATCGGATGAACTTCGTTGTTAAATAAGCCAATCCTAGAAAGTGTCCCCATAATCTCAGAAAACCCTGTAAACCGAGTTACTACAAGTAAGTTCCAGAAAGATAAATAAACACTTTTTACTCGAACACATCAGATATAGATTAATTAATTTAAACAAAATTCAAAGAATGGCATCGCTTCCCAAGGTACTAATTAATGTAGTTTAAACATGTTTTAGAGAACAGTATTAATCAGTATTAAATGTAGAGCTGAAAAATAAGAGAAACACATAGAAATCATGCCTTCATAGCGGAGAGTTCCACGGAAAATTGTTGATGCTTCAGATCCTATTCCATACAAATCTCCATAAAGTAGAGAGTTACGGTTTGGGAGACATTCCAAAGCAAAAGCAGGAAAGTCAGGTATCCTTAGTCTTGTAGCTGAATCATAAAGATCGTCCCCTGTCCAAAAATAAGTGCCATGCAGTGAGTTTATGAACAGTTTAAGCAAATGTAACAGTGAGAGTTAATTAGGGGGAATGAGACAAGTTCAAAATGAAGTAATCTATGTCAAAATTACTCCTCCTGAGGTCTAATATAGAAAATTCCATGCATGTTATTAGAAGTGGATGCATGCATACATATTATAGAAGCATGTTAGGAGCCAAAAAACAAAAAAGGAATAGAGAACTATCCTGCTTGTTGCTTTTTTGGAATTATATTCTGATACGAACCTTGGGAGAACCTCACCCCAAAAGCTAGCCCCTGAGGTAGGAGAGCCCAAAGTCCATATAAACCCCACACCAGATCCTTATGTTTCCAATGTGGGACTCCAAGTCCCATACCTTATAGTAGGATTGTAACATTCCACCACGCTCCGCAGCACTAATTCCCACGTGGGCTGGTTTTGCGCTAGTTTTTTACTAGCCCTGGGCGAAAACTGCAATACCAGCGACACCACCTGCGCCGCTCGATTGCAACCAGGAAACGTAGTGGAAGGCTCTGATACCAATTGATACGAATCTTGGGAGAACCTCACCCCAAAAACTAGCCCCCGAGGTAAGAGAGCTCAAAGTCCATATAAACCCCACACCAGAACCTTATGTTTCCGATGTGAGGCTCCAAGTCTCATATCTTGAAGTAAGATCGTAACATATCCCCAACCTAATAAAAGCTTACCATCAATATGTATAGTTTCACCACAGTATTTGTAGGTGGCAGGATTGCGCCCAGCTCGGATGGCCCCTTTAGGATTCCAACTGAAACATTTGAAAACCAATGAATTCTTAAAGCAACAACCATCAAATTTTTATAACATAAGGAAAAATAACTGTGTGATCCGTTACAGCTGAATGATTAACAAGATAAAAACACTAAAAAATTATAAGAAATTTAAAAGTACTGTGTTTAGAAACTTAGACTAACATATCCATATGTTGTCTAGATGGTATCTAATTCAACCAAGAATCGTTCTAATAGTTCATGCATTTAGCCAAAAAAAAAAAAAACTTGGTGTTCCAAACTTTGTTGCAAGCTTTAGCTGAATGAAGAATAAAAACAATTGTACCATTTCTATGTACAAGAGTAGCTTATTACCAAAGTTAACATAGATATTACCAGTCGAAGTTTGAAGATATTTGAAACAAGGATTTGTTACTTGAATTTCGAGCTTATAAAACCCAATTTAAGAGACGTAACTAGAGATTTTAATATCAAGAAGCCAAGCACATAACGCTATATAATAATGCCTGAGCAAATTTTGTGATTGAATTCTCAAGAATATTCCATAATTGAGTTATCTCTACTAATAATCATTACAATTTTCTTTGGTTTGTAGAGTATATTTCCCAAGCTCAACGTAGATCAGGTAATAGGTTCACGTCATGATAACAATTCAATTCATTGATGTACTAAAAAAATAAAAAAAGGATGCAGAAGTCCGACTGAGAAGCTCAAGCGATATTTAGCTAATGATATTAACTGCTACAATCAACTAGCCAAGAAAGGAGAAAATCATACTTAACGCGTGATAGTCCTCAAGAGTTGAGGCCCATTAAGTGTAAATTGTTCCACAAAACCCATGTTTTGGTTATAAATCACTCCCTCCAACCTTCTTCTTTTCATATAGAGCAACTGTTTTGAATAGTGGACCGGAGCAATGCCGAAAGTGGGAATTAAGGTAGACCTGGAGCAAATTTAACATTATCTTTTTCACATATAACTATTGGGTTAGTTTGCTTTGTTCAGGACACCTAAGGCCCATCAAAAGGAACCACAAAATGAAGAAAGAAGAAGGAGTGTTGCGCAGAAAGGAAAAAGAAGTCTGCTACAGTACGAAAGCAAAGAAGCTGAGCAATGGGGAGCCGCCACGTCAGCTACAGCAGAGAAGGTGGAGGTGCTACCTCTGCTACAGTACGAAAGCAAAGAAGCTGAGCAATGGGGAGCCACCACGTCAGCTACAGCAGAGAAGGTGGAGGTGCTGCCTCTGCTACAGTACGAAAGCAAAGAAGCTGAGCAATGGGGAGCCGCCACGTCAGCTACAACAGAGAAAGTGGAAGTGCTGACCTGAATCCGATACTCCTACTCACAAAGGGAGCCAAAAGCAAGGGGGACCACTTCCATTTAAGGCCAAGCTGGCAAGAAGCAAAGCTACCATTGGAGAGGATTTAGACAAAGTGCAACCCTTGATGAAAGGAACAATGGAGATCAAATGAAGAACCCTATAAAAGGAACAAGCAATCCTCATAGAGAGGAAGAATCAGCACCCATCCTAGGACCGGTTGTCTCTTTGTTTTCCTATTTCTTTGTAAAAACCCTCTAAGAGGGTGAGGGTTCCATAGAAGTAATCCCTTTTGTCTTAGGATAGCTTTGTAAGGAACACATATTTTATAAATGAATTTTGAGTTGCTCTTTGGTTTAATTTATTGATTTTGTGAAACCCTTTGGGCTGGCAACCTCATCCCGGGACCACTCGGTTGATGAAACACTGACAAAGGCGTGTGGAGCATTCTCAAAATCCTGGGGTAGTTTAGCCTGAAGAAAGGAGGGATAAACACCTGGAATGGGGAGCACTGCCATGTGAATCCATGCTCTTTTGAGAAGGCAGCATGGTTTCCTTGCATATAACTCCAAGTACTATGGAGTAACGTGGAGAGTAAGGCCTTACCCTCTGCTTACCTATAGCAAAACAAGGGAAGGAGCAAAATCCACTTGTAAAATATGCTACCAGGCAGGGTTAACCAAAGGGATGAAAACATGGAACCCGTAACACCTACTTGATCTTTTTCTTTCTGAAATTAATCTTAACTCAATTCCTATCACAACCTTTTCCTCACGATAACTGAACTGTGTTTTACTAGCTGATGATCTTACTTTCATTTCGTTGACTGCTCTTAAAGTTACTTCAATTGATGCCATTTTATTCGATGACCATGCTAAATCATTCACTGCTCTCATCTGGTTCAGAATGGTTAACATTGTTTAACTAGCTGCTCAGAGATTGCTCTTTGTGAAGCTTAGCTGAGAATAGTGATTTCCTTTATTGCTCCATTTTACAAATTAAGTTTCCTTTAGCGCTTCTTACTTCACAACTGCTCCCTGAGGACGATAAATCTGGGGCTATAATACCCTATATTGCTTGACACGTACGCTTGCGTATAGTTGAAGAGGGTTGCTCTTAGTCAGAGTAGATTGCTCCTGTTGGCAATCCTGACTACTAATCTACACTCTTGCTCTCTGAAAGAAATATTCCCGAGCAACTCTCGGTTCAACCAAGCAACGCGAAACAAATAAGACAATATTCCCAGAAGTACCAGCCAGCTATGCAAGTGTCTTTAAAGTATTTTATCAGAATTATATTTGAAACATACAGAAGAAACAATAGGTGATCATAGGATTTGTACTATAGTTTCATATGATATTTGATGGTCAAGCTTCTTCGTAATCTATGAAAATCTATATTCAATCATGATATGTAGTTATTGACCACCGAGTCATTACATCTAATCAATAAGTGATACTCTTTGGGAGAAAAATTTCACAGCCTCATAACAACATAAATGTGACAAGCTACCGCCATGTTATCTTGGGTAATTAATTGTACATCCAGTCAGCTTTTAAACTACCAAAAGGTAGAGTTTTAATTTTGGAACCATTAGGTAACTGCTTACGTAGACACAATACAAGACTTTCCAAGAAGTACCTGAATTTATAAGCTAATGGATTGTTAGCAGCTTCAGGAGATGGAAGTCCACCACAGTAAGAATTGAAAGACTTTATTTTCCCCTTCCGCAAATGTGCTTGGTCGATCATCTTCATTGCCATCATGTGATCTAGATCATCAAACAAGTACAAGCTTATTGCAAGACCCACTTTAGTTGGAAATATGTCAAGCTTCTAATATTTTCAGAAGCTGGTTTCAGCCAACGTGTTGGGATAAAATAAGTAAGCAAGTATTTTTGAAGGAAGTATAAATTTGATGACATGATATGTATGTAACATGCAGTCCAGTAAATAAAGATTTTTCCTGGAGCCTTGGTACAACAGTTGGTCTTGTAGCCATGTGACTTAAAGGTTATAGGTTTGAATCATGTAATCAGCCTCTTGCGATGCCTTCTATAGCACCAGATTGTCTTTCTTTTCTTTCAACCTTATAGGAAAAGAAAAATACTGTAGGCCAGTCATCAACACCATCAATGCAGATGCACTCTTACAGACTATTTCATGTTGCGAAAGTCCTGGAAACTGATCATTAATTATCAGAATAGCTCTTACCTATTCCTGGGTCCAATCCCATCTCACCAAGAATTGTTATACCAGCATCTTTAGCCCTATCATCTAGCATTGACATAGAGCTATCAACATAGCTAGCAGTGACAAGATGTTTCTTCAGCTGCATCAAGAAACATATTCATTTACAAAGCTAGAACAAAGAAGAATGATTATGTACCAGTACTACCCTTAGGATTTTTATCCAAAAAATAACACAATTCTATACAGAAGTTGTTTCTAAGATTCTGGACAGAGAACTAAAGAAAGCATTGGGTCAAGGGGAAACAATTGTCCTAGATTACTTCCATGACCACTAGTTCCCCAAAGGAAGAAAATCTTTAACTTAATTTACATCTTAATTCAAGAAGTGTCTTCAAACCTTGTCATAAATCTAAAGTTCAATTCATTCCTTTATGAATTTTACAATTTTCGTTACATCTTTTCTTTCTCCCTAAATAAAAATCATTTCAGTTCAATATTGAATAATAACATAAAATATCGTGAAGCACCTCAATGCAAGCATTTGCTACGATAACGTGACAACTAGGGGGCAGCAAACTTATAACGACGTCAACCTGCGACAAGGAAAGAAGGGGAAAAATGTCAAGATAAGGATGCTATCAAGACCCTAAGAATACAAAACAGAGATCAACATGTTGCAAGATGTTGCAAGATGTCTCAAGACGGCAATCATAGTCAGCTCTAACACATGATGGACAATCAAAAATTGTAAGTACATTATAGCTTAATAATATTTAAATATCTCAAGATGGTTTTTCCAGCCAAATCCCATCTCGATTTCTTGTAGAGGTTAAATAAAGTCATTGCAAGATGCTTTCCAAATAATGAATTAAGATAACTGCAGGAAATTGTACCTGTGAAATACACTCACAAAGACTGGCACGATCCATCACATCAAGCTGAATTCCAGTTACATTTGGAATGCCTTCAACAATCTGCACTGATCTTGTAATGTCAAATCAAGGATCCCTATGAAAAAACCAGTTCTGCTTCCATAGAGTAACTGGTGTAAAAGCAAAATATTCTAGTCAAAGTACCTGCTCTGCATCCTTCAGGTACAGAGATCCCACAATGACTTTAACATCAGTTTGATCTTCAAGATCATCATACAACAATGTTTTACACCATTGACTGGATGAAGGCCTTCCAATTGATGATAACATCTCAGCAGCTGGTTGACAGACCCGACCAGCACCAAGAATTAAAAATGCAGCCTTCTTTTTCGCATCAGGTTCCTTCTCTATGCCATTCTCTTGGACTTTACCAAGCTTAAGTGAAATTTTACTTAAATTTTGATTTAAAAATCTAGAGTTTTCATTTGGATTAGCAAGAGAAGTTAAAGAATCAATGATATGATCCAGAACATCCCTATCATCTGCACCAACCTGTTGAAAACCCAGCATGTTAATACACCATTTATTCTAAGAAGTTCACTAGGTTGATACAAAAATCATAATTTAAATGTAAATGCCATAATGACTAAAAAAACACTGCATACCAGGCCATTGGGCCTGACACAAGCCGAATTTGACTTGGCCAGCAATGGCTAGGCCTAAAATGACACCCCTCCCCAAGAGAGAGAAAGAGAGAGAAGAATGGAATTGAAACTTCTAACAGGATACAAATTACAATGTTTTCCAAATGGCCAATAAGAAATGATGAGTGAGAAATTCAGATATTCCAATCATAAATTTCGTGGGTATCTAGCATTTCCTTAAGATTAAGGAATAAGTGAATAACCAATCCATCCAATATATTCCTGTTGAGAAATCTTCATTACCTTCGATCAAGAACAATGACAGACCTCCCATATTTCAAGTATATGGATGAGCAGATCATTGATGAAAAGACCAAATATAAAAAAAAAATTAGCTATATCTTACAGTTGACTTACAGATACAAGATGGAATTATTCAGTATTGCACTTCAAAATAAAGAGAGAGAATGATTCTTGAGGGGCATAAGCAAACATTCCAGTTTGAAATAGAGGACTACTTACTTCAAGATCAGAGTATGATATAGCATTAGTACTCTGACCCACATTGCAGTTGACCAAGTGGAAGGAGCCTCCTGCAGCTTCAATAATATCTAAGGCCTCATTTATCAAAAACTTATCAAATAAGTGACCACTGAGAGATACCTGTCAGTTATATTCAGCGATCTTTATCAGAAGATTAACTAGAAACTATGGGATTATCATCACTATCTACTACACAAGCTAATCTTGGCATGTGGAGTACAACCAATGGATAATAAAATTGAAACTGAAGAACGCACCAATATATTGTATTTCCTCTTGTTAGATAAAGAATTTGCTGAGTTTTCTGATACTTCCCTGCAAGTCAAAAAGAGTGTGTGTACCTACTATAAGTGGGAAAATAACAGGAATTGTAATAATAATAAGGGGCATAAAACCCAACAAACTGAATGAAAAGGATTTTTTTATGATTTTTCAGTTAAGGATACAGACAACCAATAATGAAAGAGATCAGACACATACTCTGAATCAGAGTTCCGCATGCGTGGGATATAATCATATAAGGAGGTTAGCACACCTCCATGGGCTATGCAAGCTCTCCTTAAGTGATCAGGCAACTTTGTAATGTCTGTAGCAGAAGCCAAATTTATGACAAATTGGGACAGTATGTTTCCAAAATGTTGGGAAGCCTATTCATAATGAAATTGCATATTCAATCATTCTCTTATCCAATGGAAGTAAGGGAATTAGCTAACGAGAAGGCACCTACCTCTTTCGCAAATTCTGTTGGAAGAATGTCAACCGCTAAACATATCACACCATTCCCCTCCATGTCATCATGGTAGGAATCCATTATGGGATCATATCTAACAACAATGTTTAAACATGACATCATACTAGAAATGAAAAATTTGTAACGTAAATGAACTGACAGTGAATGTAAACCAAGATAATATTTCAGCATAATTATCACCTGCAAATGTCATAGCTTCTAAAAATGTAAAACCGAGTATTATGGTATTTCATCCTTCTTAGGCTTTCTCTTCTTTCTTTTAGATTAGCCTCGAACACATCTAACAAAAACCTAGGTCAACTTTTAAGAGGTGTATGCAGCTAGAAAGTCAGACATTTGATGCTTTATACATGACATAAGTGGACTGGTTTATTGTGGTTTGCGTAATGAAACATTTTGTTAGGCCTAGTGATGCATAATAGTCCAAGCTTTTATGTAGGACATAATTAGACAAGGAACATCTTACACCTGTTTGTTAACTTTCAAACAAAGCATTACCAGAAGCAGAAAAGATACTTCGACAAAGACTCTTCTATTAATTTCTATTTTCTGGTAGTATTTTCTATTTTTAGCTATTTCTCATAAATAGTAAGTAAAGTCAAGAAATGGAAATTATGTTATTTATCAATTTGGGTCGTATATTTATATAATCAATTTCTCAATATTATGGAATGTTATCTATGCAAAGCGCTTTAAAAAAAATGCAATATTCAGTTACTCTAATGCAAAACTACCATCACTTTCTACGATTCCATGCTAGAAATAGAGTAGATAAGACTAAAATAAGTGACTAGCCCAAACTAGTGACATGGTATACCTGAAGAAGGGTGAATCAATTGAGGTAGTGCGGTTAACAAACTCAACTGAACCCCCTATATCACACGTTATGTCTGCTACTCCAACAAGTGGGCACCCCTTTCTCATTAAATCTTGAATCTGCTTATAGCTCAACAACTTAGGAAATCTTTGCTCCCAGTACATGCAATTGACTAAGATAAGTAAATGTGAGTAATAGAGCTTATTAAGAAAAAGCAGTTTATCAAGAAACAATTCGGGCCAAATGTATCAAAATCAGAATTACTAATATATGGGGAGTTAACTTGACAATTGTTCAAATTCCTCTTGATCTAGTAACAGAAGAATTAGATATATCTTCACACATGGAAAAACACACAAGGCTTGATAAAAAATAATTTTATCAAGAAACATTTCAGTCCAACATATGCAAAAAAATATTAATACATGGTGATTGGTAAGCTAACTCAACACTTGATAAACATCCTCTTGGTCTGGCAATATATGAATCACATATATCTTCAACAATGAGAAAACATTGGAGACTTAGTTTTTGTTTAATATTTCCTATCAACAAATGAGCAAGAATTTTTTTCGGATTTCGGGAACAAGAAATCTAAATTACTTCAAGTCATTTTCGTAATTCATGACAGTTGAAGATCAAGCCAAAACAAAATTACTAGCTACCCATAACACTTCAACATGACAAATAACAGCATATAACTTGCTCCAATATCAGTAGCAGGCATGAAGGGACATACCAATAACAGATGCATATGGTGCTACTTTTTCATGGAAAATGGGATTGTAATGCTCTGGATGTGCATAGTAGTCTGCCTGAAATAACCAGATCAGGTTAGTACTGGTTAGTACTTAGAAGATCATGAACAATCCATAAGGATACAAATAGGGATGCTGATTGCAAGAGTTAGAGTTGATTAGCACATTCAACTATGCACTTATGAAATGATAACAGAAAAAAAAAATTATGCCAAGGCATCAGGCGGTAAGGTTGTTCCTTTATGATCATCAGGTCACAGATTTGAGTATGGAAAACAATCTCCTTGCACAAATGCAAAGATAAAACTGTGTACAATCGGTCTTATGATACTGGATCTTCAACATGCAAGATCAGAATGTGATTCTCAACATGCAAAAGCATAACAGAGAGAAAAGACAAGCACGAACTTAAAGGTCCTTTTGCTTTGTATTGAATTAGCTTCTATATACAAGGAACGAATGGAACCAGTTTATTTATATAACTGGTTCAAGAAGAATTAAAAGGGAGAAATCAGTAATTAATCCTCTAACTAACTTCTAACAGAATAAACAAAAGAAACTGACTAATATGATTACATTGGATTGGGCCCTGTTGTATCTTTTGGGCCCAAGTCATTAGAGCCTGGTAACACCCCCCCCACAAGCTTGAACTGGGTGATGAACATCAAGAAGGCCAAGCTTGCTAATAAGAGAGCTGAATGGAGAAGATAATAGAGGCTTTGTAAAGACATCAGCAATCTGATCATGAGTGGAAACAGGAAGCAGATGAAGAAGGCCAGATTGTATCTTCTCACGAGTAATGTGACAATCCAACTCAATATGTTTGGATCTTTCATGGAAAACCGGGTTGTGAGATAGATGGATGGCAGAGAGGTTATCACAAAATACAGCAATTGGTTTCGGTCTTGGAATAGCTAAGTCTTGTAAGAGGAATGATAGCCATTGGAGTTCACATGTGATGGAAGCCAATGCACGGTATTCCGCTTCAGTGGATGAGCGTGATACTGTTGTCTGTTTCTTTGATCTCCAAGAGATGAGGGAGGTGCCAAGAAACACACAGAAACCTGTGACTGATCTACGGGTGTCTGGACAACATGCCCAGTCGGCATCAGCATATGCATTTAGCTGCAAAGAAGAATTAGCAGAAAAGAATAGACCTTTAGCAGGGGAACTCTTCAGATATCGAAGAACTCGATGAGCTGCTTCAAGATGAGCATCAGTGGGAGCAGCCAAGTATTGGCTTAGTTGATGAACACTGAAGCTGATATCAGGGCGAGTAGTGGTCAGATATAGGAGACGGCCAATGAGTCTTCGATATAGTGAAGCATCTGGAAGTAATTGTCCCATGTCACGACACAATTTTACTGAAGGATCCATTGGAGTAAGGGCTGGTTTACATCCCAGTAATCCAGAATCAGAAAGAAGTTCCAATGTATACTTTCTTTGATTAAGAAGAATACCAGAAGAAGAATGTGAAACCTCAAGACCCAAAAAAATCTGAGTTTCCCCAAATCCTTGATTTTGAAATGACCATCCAGAAACGATTTTACCCTTTGAATTTCTGCCATGTTGTCTCCAGTGAGAACAATGTCATCGACATAGACAAGTAAAGCTGTAAAATGACTACCCTGCTGTTTGGTGAACAAAGAAAAATCAGCCTGAGATTGGGAGTAGCCAAGAGAAGAAAAAGCAGCAGATAACTTGGAGTACCACTGTCTACTGGCTTGTTTGAGCCCATAAATGGATTTGTGAAGTTTACAAACCAGAGAGGGATCCGAACAAGCAAGTCCAGGTGGCAAAGTCATGTATACTTCCTCATGTAAATCACTATGGAGGAAGGCATTGTTCACATCAAGTTGCTCCAAGAACCAATGCTTAACAAAAGCAAGAGAGAGCAACAGCCGCACAGTGGCTAACTTAGCGACTGGACTGAAGGTTTCAAGATAGTCCAAGCCTTCAATTTGAGTATAACCTTTGGCTACAAGGCGAGCCTTATACCGTTCAATAGATCCATCAGCATTGTGTTTAATCTTGTATACCCATTTGCATCCTATGGTGCTTTTGCCAGGTGGAAGGGGAACAAGACTCCATGTACTGTTTTGATCAAGGGCTTTAAGTTCAGTTCTCATGGCTTGCTGCCAACATGTATGCTTGGAAGCTTGTGAATAAGTGTGAGGTTCTGTATGGGTAGTGATATTGAGACAATAATTTTTGTAGAAAGGTGAACACCTGTCATATGTTAGTACATTGGATAAAGGATGTGCAGTTTTGGGAGAAGAAGAAATACCTGAGATGAGTTGAGGAGCTGATGTGATTGATAAATTGCAGTGATAATCCTGTAAGTAGTTAGGTTGTCTTCTAGGTCTGGAAGTTCTGCGTATGAGATCAGATGAAGGAGGATTTGGCAATGTGGGATCAGGTGAGACAGTAGGAATAGGAGGTAGGATATCATTGGTAGGTAAAGAGGAAGGTAGCTGTTGTGACAGTGTATCAAGATCAGAAGTAAAATTGAGATCAATAGGATTTTGAAAATCAAAATGGATTGGAGTTGGGTGACATGAAGTCTGAGGTGGGTCTGGTTTGGTAGTAAAAGGAAACACATGTTCAAAAAAAATGACATTTCGAGAAAGAAAAAATTTTCTGGTTTTGAGATCAAGGAGAATGTAGCCTTTAACACCGTCTTGATAGCCTAGAAAAACAGTTTTATATGCTCTAGGAGCAAATTTAGTTCTATGGGAAAGAAGAGTAGAAGCATATGAGAGACATCCAAAAACCTTGAGGTGCATAAGTGTGGGAGGTTTCTGGTATAGAACATCATAAGGAGTGGAATGATTGAGCAAAGGAGTTGATAAACGATTGATGAGATGAATGGAATGGGAAATAGCATATGACCAAAATGGCAATGGAAGATTGGACTGAAAGATAAGTGCCCGAGCCACATTGAGGATGTGTTGATGTTTCCTTTCAACAATGTCATTTTGTTGAGGATTTTCAACACAAGTTGTTTGATGCAAGATACCTTTTTCTTGATAAAAAGCAGACATGGCAAACTCGGGTCCAATATCTGATCTAACACATTTCACAGTTAAGTGGAACTGATTCTGAATCATGATGATAAAATTTTGTAAAGCCTTCCTAGTTTCACCTTTAGATTTTAACAAAAGTGCCCAAGTAAAACGAGAAAAATCCTCAACAATGGTTAAGAAATATCTATGACCATGAATAGATGGAGTCGAATAAGGGCCCCAAATATCAACATGTATCAATTGAAAATTAGAAGTTGTTTTGGTATTGCTATGTGGATATGGTAATTTGTGTTGTTTAGCAAATTGACAAACATCACAGGGAGTAATATTTTTAGCAAGAATGAAAGGAAATTTTATTGCCATTTGCTGTAAGGTAGAGTAAGGTACATGACCTAGTCTATGATGCCAAAGGATAGAGGCATCAGTATTATTTACAGAATGATGAAAAACAGAAGAAATTTTGCTATGGAAATTGTGGTTGGTGTTGGTGGTCTGATCTCTACTTGAGGACCTCATCACATACAATCCTTCAACCAAATCAGCTGAACCAATCATCACATTGGTATGAATCTGTTTCACAAAACAGTAGGAATCACGAAATATTAGGTAACAAGACAGACTTTTGATCAATTTTGTGACTGATATTAAATTGACATGAAAAGAGGGAACAAACAATACATCAAACAAAGTTAAGGTTGAAGAAAAATTGACAGTGCCAGAAAAATGAGCTGTGGTGTGTGAACCATCAGGTAAGGTGATGGAAATGGGACTGATTTTAGTCAATGTAGAAAAATTAGAGGAGACATAACTGATGTGATCAGTGGCTCCAGTATCAAGAAGCCATTTGGAGTGAAAACTACCTGTGAGACTACCTGTGTTAGTGTTCATGGCAGTAGTGTGAATGAGATTGGTGGAACTTATTGGAGTTTCTTCAACTGAAGATCCCAATTGCAAACCCTTGATCAAATTTTGATATTCATCCTGAGAGATAGTCACCATGGAATCTGAATTATCACCACCTTCAGTGATGTCAGTATCATTTTGAGCCACAAAATTAGCATTCGATGGACCTTTTGGTTTGAAACCTTGAGGATATCCATGCTTTTGATAGCAAGTATCAACAGTATGGTTAGGCTTGCCACAGTAAGTGCAGACTTTACCAGAACCACGTCCCTTATTGAAGAAGGAAGGGAATCCACGGCCCCTGCCTCTTCCAAAATTCTGTTTCTGATGATTATCAGAAAAATTGTTGAAAACTCTGGTTTCTGTGGTTGAATCAACTAGAACTTCACAAAGCATTTGCCTCTCTTGTTGAACAATCATAGAGAAAACTCTGATTAAGCTGGGAAAAGGATCCAGCAGCATCACTTGGGATCTCACATGAGCATATTGCTCATTGAGACCTTTGAGGAACCGAACCACTTGATCACGATCCCTATATGTTCTCATCAAATTGTATCCTCCACATGTACATGGATCATCACAGCTACAGGTAGGTAGAGGTTTTAGGTTGTCAAGTTCATCCCACATTATCTTCATTTGAGTGTAGAACTCAGTAACCGAACGATCCCCCTGTTGCATCTTATAAATTTCTTCTTGCAAATCAGAAATGCGAAATATATCAGAATGAGAAAATCTTCCCCGAAGATCAGACCAAACATCACTGGCTCGATCTATCCATAATATGGATTGAGCAATGGAACTGCTTATTGATCGATGAATCCAAGACAAAACAATCATGTTGCATCGTAGCCAAGCTGGAAATGTAGGATCATTTTCCAGTGGTCGTGCAATAGAACCATCAACAAAACCTAATTTGTTCTTAGTTAAAAGAGCCATAGTCATGGATCTGGCCCAAGAATGATAATTCCTCTCATCAAGAGGAGGAGTGACCAGCACCAAGCCTGGATTCTCGCTTGGATGCAGGAAGAAAGGATTACCTGGATTAGTGTAAAAATCTGGAAGAGCATGATGCAGATTCGCCATGGAGAAAACGAATCGGTGAAGAACAATAACAAAGAACAGTGAAGGAGAAAGAAAATTCAGCGGAAGGAGAAATCTGATACCATCTTATGATACTGGATCTTCAACATGCAAGATCAGAATGTGATTCTCAATATGCAAAAGCATAACAGAGAGAAAAGACAAGCACGAACTTAAAGGTCCTTTTGCTTTGTATTGAATTAGCTTCTATATACAAGGAACGAATGGAACCAGTTTATTTATATAACTGGTTCAAGAAGAATTAAAAGGGAGAAATCAGTAATTAATCCTCTAACTAACTTCTAACAGAATAAACAAAAGAAACTGACTAATATGATTACATTGGATTGGGCCCTGTTGTATCTTTTGGGCCCAAGTCATTAGAGCTTGGTAACAATCGGCCCTCGCTCCTACTCTCATAAAGTCGTGGAGCTTTGTGCCGGAATTTTCCCTCATTCCAAGCCATGAGGCCAGGGGTGTAGTTATTAATCTTTGCATAAACAGCGTGCCTGTTTGAATTAGCTTATTTTGGGGTTAAAAAAACTTTTTTTGGCATCTTTTTGAGAGAGCTTTTACAAAAATAAAAAGCAATTATTTCCCTTACAAAAAGTGTTCCAAAACATGCACTTAATGTTCTTGTTGTTTTACAGAATTATGATGATTTTTGATTTTATTTTTTGTTCCACTGGAATAACATGATGAATTTGAATTTCTCTAATTCTTCCACAATAACTGCCAAATCATGCATGCTATAAAATGGGAATTTGTTCTACACATTATTTAAAGAAGATTATCACAGATTTTATGAATTTAGTACAAATTAGCTGTTCAACTCCATATGAACCACATGAATGAGAACATGCTCCAAGTCTTAATCTCAAAACAGGTTTCTGATCCAAAATTACATGCCAAAATTTTTTGCAACTCAGCAAAGAGGTATTAGTGGACAAATGGATAACAGGAGATCCCAAAACTCAAGATCAAGATCAACTAACTCACTTTGTCAAACACTTTCATGGGATCTTTGGGTTCAACCATGTCTTGGGCAGTAACAACACAACCATAAACTTGGAAAACTCTTTTTGATGAATGCCGTGGTTGATCTGTGTCCTGTTAAACAAAGTACATATCAGGCAAAGTACAAGACAGATGCTAGACATCTCAAAAGCACAACAATAACTATCTTGAACCAACTTTCTCAAAAGCATAAGTTATTAGGTTTTGACACATGAATATTTTTATATTACATCTCTTAACACGCCCCTCATCCAAAAGCCCTTTTGGTTATAGAGACTATGATACTATATCATGAACCAACCCTCTCAAATGCTTAAGTTGTTAGGTCAAAACACGTGAATGATTTTATATTACATCTCTAACAATAACACAACATTTTCAAGATTCTACCAATTTATTATTTTAATAAAGTATAAACTCAAATTCCTAATAATTTCATTTGTTTACAACTATAATAGGTGTTTCTTATACACTTCTATTGTTTTTATATGGTTATTATTGTGATGAACATGTGTGAAAGTATTGCATTCTCTCTCTGTTCAAACAGCCCTAACTTCGCATAAACTGGGCTAGGAATTCCCTAATCATCACTCCAAACTAAAGATGATATTTGAAACACGAAAAAGTTTTTGTCTGGGTGTCAACCCTTTACCCGTCCTGGTTATGTGCAGCTTCATGCATTACCTCCTGACACTTTTGTCTCGACTTAAAGAGGCAAGCAAAGAATATGAAGGATTATTTATTAAGGCTTCATATATAAAACATGTGGATGTTGTTATACCAAGGTCTAACATTTTGATGAACCTTCACAAAATCTAGTACCACACTAAAAACTGTTAAAATTACAGGGATTGGATGGAAAAGGATAAAAGACCCTGAATAATCATCAAGTTGTGATATGAAACACTGGCCTAAATATCCTACTTACTCTGATAATTAGGTCAAGCACAAGTGTAATACAACTAGTACAAGCCAAACCAAATTGCATTCTTAACATAATAAGACTCCTGACCCAATAATAATCCTAATCTAAAAAAAAATTACCACTTTATGTAGGTCGCATAGTCTAGATGGATCCACAAAGGTATGAGGAAGAAGCTTAAATATCTCTTGTGCACCAGAACAAACTACAAGAAAGGGCGAGTTCAAAAGTTAGTGTACGAGTCACTTTTCAATATTTATTAGGCAAAAGTAAATGGGATTTCAGAAATCATTAGTTCATGAATACAGGGATCAGTTTAATTTAATTTGTCATCCTGTCTGCTTAAGAAAGGATAGGCAATATGCAAAGTTAGAGTATCATTTCCTAACAACAACGCCAACAAAGACTATATTACCATACCATTTCCTGAACCAGTAAACACAAAAACCAGGGGGCAAATCCCCAATGGCAATCCCTGGGTTGCAATTTCTTCACCAACAGAAATCACAGCAGCCTTAGCAGCAGCCAAGGAAGGGTACATGTAAGATGATCCCAGTGACAGGAAAGGTGTTGAATATCCAAGACTCAAAAATCCTGAGACATAAACATATAAGATGTCAAGTTTGAACATCACTCACTAGAAAGTCATCAAATTCGGAAATATGATAAGAGCAGAATTAGGAGAAACATACGCTGTCCTAATCCACGTAAGAAGTCAATCATTCCAGCTCTGCCAGCGAATTTTCCAAATGCTAGTAACCTTTTTCCATTGTCCCCAACAATTAATTCATAGTCATATAACGATGCCCTCTCAGCTAGGATCTACAAAAAGGTAGGAGGAAATAACAAAAAGAAGTTAGAAGTGGGAAGAAACCCCCCCAAAAAAAAAAACAAATTTGAAGTCAAGTTTCAAACATGAAGAATTAGATATAACACCTTATCTAGCAAGGGCATGTTCTCTTTCTGTGCTTTATGAGTATGGGAGAAGAAGGCATAAGTTCTATCTGGTAATATCATCTCTAGCTGCCAGAAACCAATAATATGAAAGATCATATATATCAAAAATCTATCTGATTAACTAAAAACACAGGCAACAAGACACAGGAACATAATTAAACCCAAAAAAAGGAAAGAAAAAAAAAAGGAACCTTTGGTTGCTTAACGGCAAGGATGAGACCACAGTGTGACAAGTCTTGGGATATTTCACAGCCAACTTCCTTATAGAGAGCATCATGATGAATTCTCTTAGTGGAAGGCTGAACAATAATTCTAGACACACCTGTCCCACCGTGAAGTATTCGAGCACAGTGTGATGGGGTTAAAGGTGCCCTTCTTTCCCATTTATTCGCAGACTCTCCCAGGATCCCAACAACACCGTTCCCAAGCATGCTCCTTTTCCCTCTCTCAATACTCATTTCTCCCAAACTCTTTCCTTCACTCACAGCATTAACCAACTCATAAAACAAACACACCCCACCTGATTTCCCTCTCGTATAGATATAAATCACCAAGCTTTACCCCAAGAACAGTAATCGAACACGTTTTTTCTGATAGATTGTGATTGCAACTCTAGACAAAACAAAACAAAAACAAAAGATAAACAGCCCATAATATCAGAAAAAACAATATGAGAAAAAAATAAGTGACAAAAAGGCGTTTGTCATGCACAATTTATATCATTTTACTTTCATAAAAAAAATGGTGAGATCCACATTTTTATATTTTTTTTTGTCATATTCTTTTTTTATTATCTATCTCTTCCTCTCACCTAACACAAGACAACTTTATATCTGTTTTTTTTTTTGAAATGGTACATTTTTTTTCAAAATATAATAATTACCGGATATGAGATGAGGTGACAACAGAAAACTAAACTAGAATATGGCCACGGCACTGAGGTGGTAGGAATGAATGGTAGTGGCCTAGTGGCCTTTTTATCCATACAATGCACTATGAAATATTTTAACCGTTTCGTTGTTTTGACCAATTATGTACAAATTTAATGTTCAACTCGCCTATCATTTTGTGATTTGTGCAAAAATTTATCAGCCTATCACGTACGTGTCATGCGTATCATAAGATGTGTACGGGGAGAAGGGCGCAAACTCTTACATATTAAAAAAAAAAAAAATCACTCCCCGTTAAACACCCTTGCATAATTGCAAAGAGTTTCCTGAATTCGAACCTATGACCTTTCAATCCTGAAGGAACAGTTTTACCACTGTTCCGATTCGTCCCCTTAGGTAGTGTTTGGTTGAAGGTTTATTTTAGGATTGATGGGAAAGTGTAAGTGGATATTGGAAAATACCACGTTTGGTTCAGGTTTTTTCAAGAAATACCAGACAATTAGGATAGATGGGAAAATGACTTTTGTGTTGATTTTTTGATGAAATTCACTGTTGCAGAATACCACTTGAGATGTGGTATTTTGAGATGACTGGGGAAGTGAAAAAACAGGTGCAAAGTTTCTCCCGAACATAGATTTTGCATATTTAAATAAATTGCCCTGGTAATATTTGGGTCAACCAAATAACTTTTTTTACATTTTCGCATCAAACTCATTTTCCAACCACTTACCTATCAATTACATTTCCCTAGTAAAAAAAATTTTCTCCCGAACCAAACACTACCTTAACTCTTACACATTATATTAATAAATAAATTATCAACAAATTAAGTAAAATAGCCATGGTAATGCATGTCAGCGTAACAACTTTTGAATATTAAAAGTGTTTGGATGTGAATGATGATGACATATGAGACAATTGCATAATCGGATCACACTTAGATGAGTCAAATGATATGTTAGGTATGGGAGGGACTGGGACCCATTCAAAGGATAGGCGATGATAATTAAAGGATTTTGGCAAGTGGGCCATTCATTTGACGACACGTCTTATCCCAATACTTAGTTAAGTAAATAGTTTCCGTGTACGATTCATTCCAAAATTCCAAATGGGATATGCTTAATGTTGCATCTGTTACACTTTCGGACGCTGAAGTTGTCGTGACGTGACGTACTTTGCTCACAAAAGTTTAACTTGTTATAATGGATAGCGATAGCAAATCGGCGCAATCTGGAATTTCGTAGGGCATTTTTTCAATACAATAAATGATAAAGAAAATATAAAAAATAAAAAGGAGACTTACAACTTATCTTATACCGATAGAGATGTGGGATACGGACTTTGATACAACATAACATTCCGACGTATTAATTTTAAAAAATATTAGATTTTGACATGTTAGAATATATTTTAATATTAAATAATATTTTTAATTTATATATTGTATATTATATTTAATATCCAATAATTTAACAAAAAAAATAAAGCTAAATTTATAATAACCAAGGAAACATAAGATATTTGAAATATATATATTAAACACAATAAAATGATAAACATAATCCAACGAATCTAATAGTTGAAACTAAAAATACAACGTAACACAAACTTTGAACCCTTTTTTGAGTTTATACAATGCATGTTAGAGAATCAAAGTGTCAAACACCACAAGTCAAAATTTTAAAGTGTCGTTGCAAGTGAATGGATGCATAGTTAACCTCCCATTCGAAAATATATTTCCAATTATTATTATTTTTTGGTACAATTTCCAATTCTCTATATATATATATATATGGGTTATGTTTATCTCATTTTACATGAGATAAATAACTCTCCTACACACACAAAAAAGGGTTGGGTCCCACCATTCTTTTTTCTCTCTCCTCTTATTTGTGGGTCCCACTTATAATTTTATTTCTACAACATGAGGTAAGAGTTTTCCTACAACATAAGAAAAGTAATTCTATATATATATATATATATATATATATATATATATATATATATATGGGCAGGATATTCTTACACCGGTATAATAGTTAGAAGTCTTACAGTCAATCTTGATCATTGATCCACTTGTATCCAATGGTTCATATTAGTAAAAAATTTGAGCCCTTAGATATAAGTGAGATTAATGGACAAGATTAAGAGTGTAACTTACACTGGTGTAAAATGATCCTGACCCATATATATATATATATATATATATATATATATAGAGGTAGGATCCTTTGACACTGGTGTCAAATTTGATTCTGATTTGAGAGCCATTAGATCAAAAAAGATCAACGATTCTGATTTGTAAACATGTGACACCATTGATCTTTTTTTATCTAAGAGCTCTTAGATGAAGTGTCAAATTTCAAATTTGACACTGGTGTCAAATGATCCTATCTCATATATATATATATATATATATTGTCAATTTATTAGGTCGAATATATTCAATTTTAGTCTTTATTTTTTATTATATTTAATTATTTTAATCTAGGGTAAAACATTTCTCCATCTACGGAGATAAGTTTCTCTGGTGAGCACAAAATAACGTAGTTTTGTGGTGAAAATCAATGCGTTTTTGTAATTCTAATCTATTGCATGGTTATATTAGTCTTTTATCATTATAATTTTTCTATTACTGTCTTATTTGTCAAAGAAAAATGTCATAACCTCGAAACGACGTCGTTTTGGGGCTCACTGGAGATAAAGTTATCTCGAGTGACCAGAGAAATACTTTTCCCTTTAATCTATTCATTATATAAGTTGTTAGAAAAGTATATAAATCATTTATGAATTTTCACTTAAAAGTTTAAACTTTTGAGTTGAATTAGTTATTTATATAGTATCAGAGTCTCGGTGTCCTGGGTTCGATCATCGTCGCTCCCCATTTTCTTTGTGGAAATTCTTAGCATAGATAGGCTGAGCCCGATGTGTCATTCATCTTTTAAGTCCAATGGGCTCTCTTGTGAGAGAGCGTGTTAGAGAATAATATAAACCATTAAAAAATCTTGTCCACTAACTTAAGTTTTTGGGTTGAATTGATTCTTTACATGATATCAGAGCCTCGTTGTCATGAGTTCGATCCTCACCGACCCTGATTTTTTCTTGTGAAATTTCTTAGCACAGATAAATAGGCATGCGCATTATCCATTTTTCATGTTCAGTGAACTCTTGTGTGAGGGGTATATTAGAGAAGTGTAAAATTATTGATGGGTCTTCACTTAATAACTTAAGTTTTTGAGTTAATTAATTCTTTACATAAGTTATTAGATGCAGGTGAAATTAACACTTAAAATTAGATATGAGATTTCTTATTTATATATCAATTTAAGTTTGTCCTACCATTAAGTGTAATACATTCAATTTACTTTTAATAATATAGGAGTTTTGGTTGTTCCATCTTCCATCTAACGTGGATGGGCTTTTTGTTTAATTTGTTATTGCCTACTTTAGATATTGTTTTGTGATGATTCGAGTTAATGGTTGTATACTTTCTTTCTTTTTCTTTTTCTTTTGTAAGAGGCTGTATACTTTCTTTGTCCGTTTTTTCATAGTGACAACATTTTTTAGTTGAAATTTATTTTAAGATAAGTGTTTATACTCAAATAGTTTCGTCAATTTTATAAAATATTATTCATTGATAGCATAAAGAATTTGTATATATCTTAAAAAAAAATTCTTTAAGAAAAAAATTAAATTGGAACTTAAAATAAATTGAAATTTTTATTTCTGTTAATTGGTAATTCATATTTTTTTAGTGATTTTGTTCATGTACTCTTCAAGTGATTTTTTTAACTATGTTCAGTATTCATAATGCTTATTCTTCGTGAATAATTAATTCCGATTCGTTTCAATATTCTATTTATTATTATCCAAACAAAATATGTTCTATTTATTAAAGATCAAAGCTGATGATTCATGGCCATCAACCTATCATTGAACTCTGAATTGGAAGGGCCCGATTGAGATGATGCCAAGGCCAACTCTAATACCAGTCTTATTGCACATGACAAACGAGCTTACTTAAGCCGCTAAAGAATGCGAGCTTCGGGAAAAAAAAAAAAAACACTATCATGAACTAAATGGAATTTGCAGCAAAAGTATGATTTTGTGAGAATTAGAGGCAGATTCAGATTCTTTCTAATGGGCCACTAGTCAAACTCCCAGACCCAAATGAACTCCCCCATGCGTAAAAGTGTCTTGCTTGGTTCTTTAGCCCTTTCATTTTAATACAACCCAACCCAACTATCATTAAACGAACCTAAACAACCACGCATCACAAAAAAGAGTAATGATACATAAATAGAGTTATATTTATAAATTTTTTGTTTATAAACTATGGATTTTATAATTCTCTTTTAATATGAGAATTAAAATTTTTCTACACACCCTTCAATTTTCGTGTTAACGGGGGTCTTACACATAATTTTTTCTAACATATGGGTCTCACATGTTTTTTGTCTCTACAACATGAGATTTTAATTATCATGTAACTTCAGAATTATAAAACCCATAAACTAAATTATGTATTCCAAAGAGTATAAACACTTAAGTGTGTATTTTCTGGAGTACATAGTATAGTTTGTAAGAATTTATAATGGTGTGTACAACAATCTTCCTATAATGAGGTTTTTTTTTTTTTTTCGGGAAAAGAAATGGATAAAAACAGTGTTCGACAAAATCAATTTACTTTTTTGTTT